GTCAAAACGGTTTGACCTCCGGGTCGGTTTTTAAAACTTTGGTTTAAGGTCAAAATTATCTTTCTTTATTTCAAATTTCACTTAAAATTTTGATATTTAAGCAATTTAGTCCAAAGGTTTCAAATCTTTTCAAATCAATCTTTCATGTTTTGAATTTAATCAAATCAGTCTTTCATCTTTTGAATTTAATCAAGTTAGTCCCTTAACTTCTTGTTCATGTCATTGTGCATATATGTCTTTGATTTGGTCCATTTCAGTCCAAAAAATTAAAAAAAAAATGTTTCAGTTTATCTCTTTTTCAAGTTTGCTTATTAAGACTCAAACATAAACATAATAAAATAAGTTGAATTAAAGCCTCAATTTTAAAGTATGCAATCGTGTTTAAACAGAGAATTGTGAGGTGCGCATATGCCCTTTCTCATTTCTAACTGAACCCCCGAACCCCAATCTCTGTGCAGACCCGTTTTAGGTGACTTATCCCACCTTATAATTTGGACAAGTGGCGACTCTCTTTTCTTATATTTTTCACCCTTAATTTTTTCATTTATTTTGAGAAAAATCTTAAGTGGTCGTCAACAACCCACAGCCAAAAGAACATCCTCTCCCTTTTTAGGTGAAACCCAATTGGAGTAAATGGGTTAGACCTTTCGAAACTTGGCCAGCTTGGAGGAAATCGGAATGGGTTGACTGGATAAATCGCCTTGAACCTACTTTTAGTCAGATTTGGAAAGATGTGGGTTTGTTTGAATTCATACAATTATCCAAATGCAAATTCACCATGGACAAGCCGATCTTGAGTTCGGCTTTGTTGTTTTGGTCTGGCTCTTTTAATTGCTTTCATTTCCCTTGTGGAGCCATGTTTGTGAGCCTCTTTGATATTAGTTCATTAACTGGATTGCCTTGCACAGGATAAGAGATTTCAACATTATTAACTTTGCCACCAAGTGTTGAATACAACGTAGATTTGAAGCCCTCTGATGAGTTTAATTTTTATATGCATTTATCTATCCTTTTTGAGTCTAGAATTAAATTTTATGGGTCTTTTGTAACTTAGTTTCACCTTTGTTTATATTAAATTCATTATTTGTGGGTGGAAATTAAGATAGGAATTAATTCTGCAATAAGTGACAATTTGCACATGCTGCAGTAATTTAACCATATCTTTTTCTCTAGATATCGGATTGAGTTGATTCTTTAGGCATTGGAAAGCTAAGAAGCAGAGCTACAATTGATGTTTTATGAACTCAACCCAGTTCCTTCTGTATCAATACAGAATTTAAGTTGAAGTTGACAGTTTTGACAATTGACAGAGTGCAGAAATAAAGAGAATTGGGCTATGTTTTCTAGGTGTGAGCCAACTGCAGTCCAGACCCAAAATAAAGCTCAATTCCCATGTCTGCTAGGGTTAAGAGAAATAAGGGTTTCTAATTTCTAAAGATATATATGCGAGGAGCCCCACAGACGCAAGAAGGAGTTGTTCTGCGCAAGAGGTCAAGAGCATCCAGCCGCCCAAAATCCCAACCACCCGCATTTGTTGTTCACCAGCAGCTGAAGAGGACAGCAACACACAATACCCAATCAGTTCGCATCTGAACAAGGAGAAGAAGACTCAAAAATCTATTCACCAGCAGAAGGGAGAACACCCACCCAGATCTGTTCGTGAAAGAGCCAACGTCGCCAACAGCTTCTGTTCTTCTCAACCAGCTTTGTTAGGGAGGGATAGCAGCACAAGTTTGGCTTGTTCTTCATTGGACGGGTGTTGTTGATTCTTAATTTGAATTTTTTATCATGATTGTCTGCTGGGATTACCGAATTATGGCTGTTGTTGACAACATAATCATGCATAGCTAAATTTCTTTGAACTAGGGATGGATGGATTTTAATTTTTGGAATATGTGATTGTTTTTGTTAGTTTAATTCAAGATTTATTGGTTATTTACATGATGAGTTTATATTATTGAGTTTAATGCATTGAAAGCCTGATCACCTTTCAATTGATTTAGTGATTTATGCATGAACTTGAGAAAGAATTACATAGATTAGACCAATAATAATATAAACCGTGTGCTAGACTATGAAACCGAAAGGTAATTAGCTCACATGTGGTAGTAGAGGAAGAGAAGAGAGTTAGTAGCTCCCCTTTCTTAAGCTAAAGGTTTCCATAGAATTTAATGCTCATTAGTTTGTTTAAAATTACATAAAGATATGATTAATTTAACAAACAAGTGAAGGATTAATTTGATTTGTGAAAGCTAGTTAATTAATTTAAGGAAATCTGCCATCTCATGCAATAACACTATTATTTGAACTTGAATTAAATTAATAAGACAGTTGCATAATTCAGAATTAAATGAAATCCAAACCCTAGTTCCTTCTCATTCATAGTTTCTTTAATTTAGAAAATTCTTTAGTTTAATTTCCTTAGTTTACTTAGTTTTCTTTTAAATAGTTTAGTTTTCCCCATTAATTGGTTAATTCAACTTAGGTTAGATTAATAGTGTCTTGGTAGTGTAGGATAGTTCTCAAGGAAACGATATCTTACTCATCATATACTGCATAATCGATTATGTTCACTTGCCTAAAAATAGTGCGTATTCGGTCATCAAGTTTTTGGCGCCATTGCCGGGGACTAGTCATCTACATATTAAGATTAATAATTTGGCCTTAGATTGAATTTTTTTATTTTTTTCTTTTTCTTTATTGATTAGTTGTTTTTTTTTTTTGTTTTTATTCTTAATTTATCTTAGTTTTATTTTTTTACTTTTTGATTTTTTTTAGGATATTAGTGCATGACCCGTAGTAGTGGTGGTGATCTTGTTCCATTTGATCCAGAAATTGAGAGAACTTTTAGAGAGTTCTTAAGAGAGCAAAAGCAGAACATCATGGCAAAAGAAGGTGAAGGACAAAATAATGCACGCACTCTTGGTTCATATGCTACCCCATCCCTTGAAGGAATAACATCCAGCATTATGAGGCCAGCGATTCAAGCCAATAACTTTGAAATCAAACCAGCTATCATTCAAATGATCCAACAAACTGTCCAATTCAGTGGTTTGCCTAATGAAAATCCTTATTTGCATATTGCTAGTTTTCTTGAAATTTGTGATACTTTTAAGGCTAATGGTGTTAGTAATGAGTCTGTTAGGCTTACATTATTTTCATTTTCTTTGCGTGATAAAGCCAAGAGTTGGCTTCAATCTTTTCCCGCAGGTCATTTTACCATATGGAATGTTTTGGTAGATAAATTCATAGCTAAATTTTTTCCTCCTTTGAAAACAGCTAAGTTGAGAAATGACATCACTACTTTTGTTCAATTTTATAATGAGTCATTATATAAGGCATGGGAAAGATTTAAGGAATTGCTTAGGCAATGTCCAAATCATGGTTTACCTGTTTGGCTCCAAGTGCAAACTTTTTATAATGGTATGACTCCTCCTAATCGTTCTATAATTGATGCAGCTGTAAGGGGTAATCTTATGAATAAGACAGAGGAGGATGGTTATAAGCTGTTAGATGAAATGGCCTCTAATAGCTATCAATGGACTAATGATAGAGCTACCAAAAAGGGAGTTGGTTTACATAATGTTGATGCTTTTACTTCTTTATCTACTCAAATTTCTATTTTGAATAAAAATTTAGATAATTTAGGAGCATCAACAATGAGTATTTCATCTAATAGTTGCTGTGAATTGTGTGGGCAATTGGGTCATGCTAGTGTTGAATGTCAAGTAGGCAATTTAGTTCAATCTTTTAATGAGCAAGCTAATTTTGTTTCTTCTGGTGGTAGGTCTAATTTTAATCCATACTCCAACACCTACAATTCCAGGATAGAGGAGCCATCCTAATTTTTCGTGGAGTAATAATCAAGTGAGAGTACCACCAGGTTTTCAGCAACAAAATCAGCAAGAAAAGAAGCCAAATTTGGAGGAGTTGGTGCACAAATTTGTTAGTAATACAGAAGCACGGTTTCAAAATCAAGATGTTGCTATTCGGAATATAGAAACGCAACTTGGACAGATTGCTAATATGGTTTCTGGAATAGTTCAAAGGGGTTTGCCAAGCAATAGTGAAAAAAATTCAAGGGAGCAATTGAAGGCTATCACTTTGAGGAGTGGAAAAGAACTTAACGAGGTAGGACAATCTGATGGGAAAGAAGAAGGTGTGGAAGCTGGTGAATCAAAGCAAGAGGAAGAGCCTAAAAGACTTTTTCATGATTCGAATGTCAAGCCTTATAAGCCGAAAATCCCTTTTCCTCAAAGATTTTTGCAAGCTAATTTAGACAAGCAGTTTTCTAAATTTTTAGAGGTGTTTAAAAAGTTACATATTAATATTCCTCTTATTAATGCTATTTCGCAGATGCCAAGCTATGCAAAATTTTTGAAGGAGATCCTTGCCAATAAAAGGAAGTTAGAGGAGTTCGAGATGGTGAAGTTAAATGAAGAATGCTCTGTTATTCTTCAGAATAAGTTACCTCCTAAGTTGAAGGATCCAGGGAGTTTTTCTATTCCTTGTATTATTGGCAATGTTAATTTTGATAAGGCTTTGTGTGATTTGGGTGCTAGCATTAATTTGATGCCTTTTCATGTATTTAGGAAACTTGGATTAGGAGAACCTTCACCTACCACCGTCTCTCTTCAATTGGCGGATAGAAGCATAAAATATCCAAGAGGAGTGGTAGATGATGTTTTGGTAAAAGTTGACAAATTTATTTTTCCTGTTGATTTTATTGTTCTTGACATGAAAGAGGATTTTGAAATGCCTTTAATTCTTGGGAGACCATTCCTTGCTACTGGTAAAGCTCTTATTGATGTTCAACAAAGGAAACTTAGCCTTAGAATACATGATGAGGAGATTGTTTTTAATGTGTTTGATGCTATGAAAAATTGTGATCATGATGGCAGTGCTGTTTTAAGGATTGATGTGGTAGACAATGTAGTGGCTGAAAATTTTAATGCTTCTAGATTAGATGATCCTATTGATAATTGCATTGTTAATGCTTTGGATGTTAAAGCTAATAGTGCAGATAATAACATTTTGGAGGCAGCAGCTATTCTTGGGGGAAAATGCCATAGGCAGCCACAAAAAGGAGGGAATTTTCTGCCCTTAGATGCATCGTCCACTGTGACAGTCAAGCCATCCAAAGAGGAGCCCCCTACTCTTGAATTAAAACGTCTTCCTTCTAAATTAAAGTATGTTTATTTGGGTGATTCAAATACCTTACCTGTTATAATTTCTGCTTCTTTGACAGGAATAAAGGAGGAGAAACTCTTAAGGGTGTTGCGAGAACACAAAGGAGCTATAGGATGGAGCATAGTAGATATCAAAGGAGTTAGCCCTTCAGTTTGCATGCATAAAATTTTGCTGAAGGAGGGGCACAAGTCGATTGTTCAGCCTCAAAGACGCCTTAATCCTAACGTGCAAGAGGTGGTCAAAAAGGAGGTAATCAAATGGTTAGATGCAGGTATTATTTTTTCTATCTCTGATAGTACTTGGGTCAGTCCTATGCAAGTAGTGCCTAAAAAGGGTGGGACAACTGTGGTAAAAAATGAAAATGATGAATTAATTCCCACTAGAATAATAACAAGGTGGAGAGTGTACATAGATTATAGGAAACTTAATGAAGCTACTAGAAAAGACCATTATCCACTGTCATTTATTGATCAAATGATTGAGAAACTTGTTGGACATGAATATTATTGTTTTTTGGATGGTTATTCTGGTTATCATCAAATTCCTATTGCCTCTAAGGATCAAGAGAAAACAACATTTACTTGCCCATATGGTACTTTTGCTTTAAGACGAATGCCCTTTGGTTTGTGCAACGCTCCAGGTACGTTCCAAAGATATGTGATGGCTTTATTTGCTGAATTTGTTGATGAGTTCATGGAAATTTTTATGGATGATTTTTCAATTTTTGGCTCTTCATTTGATGGATGCTTACATAATCTATCTAGGGTGCTTAAAAGATGTGAGGAAACTAACCTAGTATTGAATTGGGAAAAATGCCATTTTATGGTTAGGGAAGGTATAGTGCTAGGTCATAAAGTATCCTCTAAAGGTATTGAAGTTGATAGAGCTAAAGTTGAGATAATTGAAAAGCTTGCTCCTCCTAAATCAATTAAAGAAATTAGAGGTTTTCTTGGACATGCTGGTTTTTATAGGAGATTTATTAAGGACTTCTCAAAATTTGCTAAGCCTCTTACTAATCTCTTGGTTAAAGAAACACCATTTTTTCGTTGATGATGATTGTATGAATGCTTTTCAATTGTTGAAAGAGAAACTGGTTAATGCTTCTATTGTTGTTGCACCTTGTTGGGATTTGCCTTTTGAGATAATGTGTGATGCTAGCAATGATGCTTTAGGTGCAGTTTTGGGACAAAGAAAAGATAGGAAATTTCACACCATTTATTATGTAAGTAGAACAATGAATGATGCTCAAAAAAATTACACTACTACTGAAAAAGAGTTGCTTGCTGTGGTGTTTGCTTTTGAAAAGTTTAGGCCTTATCTAATTTTGTCCAAGGTGATTGTTCATATTGATCATTCTGCACTTAAATATCTGCTTGCTAAAAAAGATGCCAAACCTAGGTTGTTGAGATGGATTTTGTTGCTACAAGAATTTGACTTAGAAATTAAGGATAGAAAAGGTGTAGAAAATTCTGTTGCTGATCATTTGTCCAGGTTAGATGAGGTGCATGTGGAATGTGGGGATGATCAACTTTTTCTTGATGAGTTTCCAGATGAGCAACTGTGTTTAGTTTCTTTGTGTGCTTTGTCTTCTTTACCTTGGTACGCAGATTTTGTTAATTATCTTGTGAGTAATGTCTTACCTCTTAACTTATCTTTTCAACAAAAAAAGAAGTTCTTTTCTGATATTAAACATTATTTATGGGAGGAACCACTTCTTTACAAGATATGTGGCGATGGAATGATTCGGAGATGTGTACCACAAGAAGAGGTAGATGCAATTTTGAGTTTTTATCATGACAAAGAAGCTGGTGGTCGTTTTGGTGCCTCCAAAACGGCATCTAAGGTTTTGCAATGTGGATTTTATTGGCCTTCTTTATTTAAAGATGCTTATGCTTATGTGAGTGCATATGACCAATGCCAAAGAACTGGTAATATTTCTAGAAGACATGAAATGCCTTTGACTAATATTTTGGTGTGTGACATATTTGATGTTTGGGGCATAGATTTCATGGGTCCTTTTCCTTCATCATTTGGCAAAGCATATATTCTTGTTGTGGTAGATTATGTGAGTAAATGGGTAGAGGCTGTTGCATGTCTTACTAATGATGCTAGGGTGGTAGTTAAATTTTTGAAGAGTAATATTTTCACTAGATTTGGCACACCTAGGGCTGTTATTAGTGATGGAGGTAAATACTTTTGTAATAGGCAATTTGAAAATTTATTGGCTAAATATGGTGTTACCCATAAAATTGCTACTCCATATCACCCTCAAACAAGTGGACAAGTTGAGGTGTCTAATAGGGAATTAAAAAGAATTTTGGAAAAAACAGTTAACTTGTCTAGGAATGATTGGTCACTCAAATTAGATGATGTACTTTGGGCTTATAGGACAGCTTACAAAACTCCGATAGGTATGTCTCCTTATAGGTTAGTTTTTGGTAAGGCTTGTCACCTTCTTGTGGAACTTGAGCATAAGGTATATTGGGCTATTAAATACTTGAATTTTGATTTGAAAGATGCAGGTGAACATAGAAAATTGCAGTTGAATGAATTGGAAGAACTACGACTTGCTGCCTATGAAAATGCCAAGATCTACAAGGAACGAACCAAGGCATGGCATGATCTACATGTGCAAAAGAAAGAGTTTCAGGTGGGTGAAAAGGTTCTTCTTTTCAATTCTCGATTGCGACTTTTTCCAGGTAAGTTGAAATCCCGATGGAGTGGTCCTTTTGTGGTGACTAAGGTTCTCCCTTATGGAGTTGTTGAAATTTCACATGATACGAAGGGAACTTTTAAGGTGAATGGGCAAAGGTTGAAAATTTATATTGAAGGTGGTAATTTTCCAGCATTTATTTCCACCATTTTATTAAAAGATCCTTGACCATTTTGCAGTGATAGTCAAGCTAATGACTGTAAAGAAGCGCTTAATGGGAGGCAACCCATCGAAAAAAAAAAAAAGCTGTTATTTGACGTTTTGCCATTTTGCATTGAGTTATTTTATTCTTTTATTCATTTTCTTTTGACTAATTTGTGTTGAGTTTTTGGCTAGGTTAGCTTTTTATTGCACTTGCAGCATCTTAGGCACCTACGACAAGAATTTTTGGCTCTACAAGAACACATTGCATGCCTACAGCAGGAAGAGCAAGATAGGGGAGTATTGTTTTTCTTCTCTTATTCATTTATTTATTTTTGACATTGAGGACAATGTTAATTTTAAGTTTGGGGAAGCATATTTTTGTGTTCTTGCTTCTGTTGTGGTTTGAAGATTCAGAGTATTGGATACATGCATGTGAATCTAATTTTTTAGCATGAAGTGAATATAGTCAAATGAGCCTATACATATTTTGTTGCATAGATGTTGCAAGTGAAGGATACTGTTCTTCTTTGATTATTAGCTCAAAATTTAGTAATACCTTGATGAGA